CGAGGCTTTAGAGAGAGAGGCTTCCATATTAGATATAAAGGAAGAATTGACAATCCTTTACACAAAAATGGTGATGTTCTGGACCTAAATAGTGACTTTGTGAAGCAAATCAAAGGAGATATGGAAGCTAGTTGATCACTCACATTGGAGTAGGGGAAGTGAGGATAGAGAATATAAATATGGAGAGCATGAGTCGCTCTCAATTCTTTTGAGTCGGGCTTTGGTGCTGCCTAAGACATTTGACAACTCAATTGTAAAATACTTTTTATCATAAATAAAACTTAAATTTTTATCAAATTTTAAAAATTTTAAACATTACTTATTCTTTATTTTCATTTCAATTTGATGTGTATTTTGAAGGTCAATGTATAAAAGTGAGACAATTCAATATTCTCCTGTACCCTATCTATAGTTAAGTAGAAGCACAATTAGTACTTTTATTTCTTAATCATCCCATCCTCTTGATAGTTTCTCTTTGAGTCCCATGGCTTCCAAGTATTCTCCTTAGATGTTCGATTTGATAAGGGTTTCTGAGAGATTTAGCTTAACATATTGTGACATTGCGCTTCTATAAAACACTTGTGAGTACGACACAAGTGTCGTTCTCAAATGGGTAGATGCAGAGGCTCGCAGTACCGACTATCTAGGAGATATCCTGATCTTCTATTAGGATCAGTTTCAGTGAGGACTTCAATTTCCCCTTTGTACAGAGCTTCAATTGATTTTAACCACTATAGAGTTGTCTTGGCTCAAATTAAGTAAATCTTGACTACTGTTATAATTACTTTACTTACATTAAATGAAGATTCCTTGGTCATGGGGGATATTCTCACACATGTTCTCCTTAAAAGTAGATACTAATGGGCATGTGGTTTTTGAGTCAATTTGGATGTTTCACTTGATTTAGTTGGAGATCAAGATCAAGGTCAAAAGTTTCAATTTTTTAATAGGTCCAACGATGACTAGGGCATTGTGACTAGGCAGGCCGACGATCCATATAAGAAAAAAGTGGGGCTTTCACTCTGTCTTAAGAGGCTTAAATTGGTCATTCCAGGCAGGCAACTATTTATGATTCAATACAATGACCCATAACCATCAATTGTGCATTAAACCTGAGCAAATATTGTCTCATGAATCCCAAGATGTGGACCACCTATAATGAGCCAAAAGAGAAGATACAACTAGAAAATGTTGCTTGGCCTTCAAAGAAGGAGCTAAGGAAAATAAAGAGACTAGGTGACTCTCCTCTAATAGGCTATAATGAGCCAAAAGAGAAGATACAACTAGAAAAGGTTGCTTGGCCTTCAAAGAAGGAGCTAAGGAAAAGAAAGAGACTAGGTGACTCTCCTCTAATAGGGATAAATAAGAAAATAGAAGAAGGTGACCTGATGGGAGACACTGTTCTAGGTTCATATTTAATAAATAATATTTCCAAAAAAATCCGCCATTATTTTGAATAAGGTTGCAAAAGAGTTAATATTAATCAACTGAAAACCTACATTGGTAAATTTAGATGATAAAGAAGCCAATACCAAGATGAGCAAACTCCTTCTTCCTTTCGATTGGGGACCAGAAATTCTCAGAGCAACCTTCCACACATGAGTTTTTCTAATCCTCGACTTTGGGTTACATTTCTCCAATTAAGAGAGGTGAGACAAGCTGAAAATCTCTACAATTTGCATCAACATCGACTAAACGAGCTGAGGAGAAGTCTAGATGAGGGCTCTTAGTTAGCCGGAGAAGCTAATTGAAAGAGGAAGGGCAAGGGTGTAACTTCTGAATCTGATTCTTTTCTCCCTTCACCTTCAGAGAATAAGAAGGACAATAAGGATCATTGGATTCCCTTACAAAAGAAGCTACAAAAGATCTTCATTAATCCAGATTCTTACTTTTGATTAATAACTGTTGAGTGCGATCAGTTTCCCTTGAACTTTGATTTGGCCGAATATGTAACCACTATTGCAGACATCTTAGGGTCAGGTGACCTCAAGAAACACTTAGACAATCCCTGCTCTGTTGAGCAATGCCATTTATTCAATAGTTTCCAACTAATTGGTTACACATCACATGACCTCACTCTACTTGGCCATGAGGGAGAGAGCTAAAAAGCTGAGGTGAGGGCCAAGAATTCTAGCAGGCAAAGCTGAAAATAATGAGGGCAGCTTAGGTGGAGGCAGAGCTGAAGAATGTGAGCGGTAGATAACATCTGAGTGAGTATCTACTATACAAGAGGAAAATGTTGAACTGTGCGAGCAATTGGCCACTATGAAGACAATTGGGGAGCTTCTCGACACTCAGGTTGAGTATTTAAAGGAAGGCTAAGGAATATCTCTCAATCAATTTTTTAAAGTGTGGATGGTTAACCCCAAATATTCTGATATAAAGGAATTTATGAAGCACTTCAACACTCCTTCAGTGTCTAAACTATAAGGTGAGTTTGAAAGCGATAATGTCATAAATGGAGGATTGTCCAGTACTCAACCGGATGACACATAAACTTGGATTTTCCTTTTTGTATTTTTTTTTACATGTAATCAATATGACACACAGGATAGTTTTGTAACAAATGATTACATGTCTAAAATATGACCTTTTGGTTATTCTTACCTATAATCTTTTGTCTGAATGTACTGATTTTATTTTTCATCCATTAACTTATTTAAGGCCTTTATTTGATGAAAATTGAAAGTTAGATTTGTTCCTATGGGCTA